ACCAGTTAATGTTGCTGTTATGGGAGAAAAGTCTTCAAGGTCAAATTCACACGATGAAAACATGAAATCTATTAAAACTCTGCAATTCAGACCCTAATATGTGTTGATTTGTATTTTGTTTAAACGTTTATTTACATTTTTTTTCTCATTTAAAAATAGTTTAATTAAAGCTCCAGTGAGTAACTTTTCTGTTGTGTCAATCACGGCGCCCTGTCACAAAGCTATCTTGTCTTCTACATGCTTAAGTGGCGTCCTCTAACTACACATCTCATCGTTCTGACTTTTAACACTCAGGTGTGTCATTTATTGTGAATGTTTTATGTCAATAATTTATAAAAGGCTTTTTTTCTTTTGCTTCTTTGCTAACCCCTACCCTCTCACACCTATTTCAGATGTTAAAAATTACAAAATAAAAATCGTCAATCTTCTCGCTGATGATCTTGTTTGTTTTTAAATATAAGATTTCATCAATGTGAATTTCAGTCTATTTTGTAAACATCAAAAAAAAATCCTTACAGGAGCTTTAAATCTGTCTATCAATGTATCACCTCTTTGTTATTGTTCAGTTTCTTTTATTATTTTGATTTTCTTTAAAGTTTGGTCGTTCTAGTAACATTTGAGGTCATTTGTTTGTCTCTGAAGTTGTTTTGTAAGTTTTTTTTAAAACTTTGTGTCTCTTTGGAGTTAGCTTGATTCTCTCTGTAGTTGTTTCATATTTCTTTGTGGTTGTTTTTTGACTTTCTGGGTTATCTTCATCTGTACTCTATCTGTCTCTTGAGTTATTCTTCAATTCTTTGTGGTTGATTTCTGTCTTAACAGGATTTTTGGGCTCCTTTGAAGTAAACTTTATCTTTTTTTTATCAGCCTTTGGTCTGTCTTTTTCGATATTTTGTGCCTTTTTAAGCAAATTTAGATTTTTGTTATTTAGTTATTTTTGTAACTATAGTTGATTTAAATATCTTAGATGTTGTATTTTTATGTAAGCTTCAATTTAAAACTGTAGCTTAAGATCCTTCTCGTTAAATTAAAGTAAATGGACCATAACTTTGTTTCAGAATTTCATTATATCTGTAAAAGAGTCAGAGAATCCACTCTGTTCCTGTAAAGATTGTGTTTTGCTTCTTGTTTTTGTGAACATTTCTTGAAAGTATGTTCTCCACCCTCCTCTGGACTGGGCTTCATTTGGCAAAAAGACCCCTCAATGTGCAAAATTATTACAAAACCACAGGAGGATGGACTGGAGACGGTTTTAGAGACAAACAGTTTTTGAGGAGATTCAAAGATTGTGTCACTTTCAGTCCTGAAATCTGGAATGTTAAATAGATGTCCTAAGATTTAATCCTATCAAATCATTTAAATGCAGTATAAAGGTGATTGTTTTTATCCCTTAGTGATGGGAAGCTTTCCTCATCTGGTTTGAATAATGACCCGCCCAAAAAGCCCCAGCTCCCATCAGCTCTTCCTAACGGTCGTCTCCCACCTCCGGCTGGAGTCATCCTCCAGATGTCGGATGCAACCTTTCAGCATTCCAACTACCAGTCTACTAACTGCCCTTACAAATATACACACATACATCGCAGGTCGCACTCACACAAGGAGTTCAAAGCTGTGCCAGAGGGGAGCAGGTGGCCTGAAACAACACGCTGCTTTTGACATGAGGTCCACCAGAGGCCTGAGCGTTGGAACTTCAGTCATCCGGGAAAACAGAAGCTCCAAAAGCATCTCCTCGTACAGTAGTGTGTATAAACGCTTTTTGTTTGGTCCTGTTTTCAGCCATGTTTGATAAATGTTGGCTGAGAAATGAGTTCCTCTAATTGATTCATTAGTTTTATGACTTCTGCTGTCATGATGATTCAGACTCTGCGTTTTATGGTTTCACAATGTCTGATGTGATGAACACGAGTTCAACTTCAGTTTACACGGCCTAAATTTTATTTTAAGCATTGGCAAGAGGAACTATGTCTTACATAACATACCTACTGTTGTGTACACAGTCTATTCTGAAAAAGAGGAACTGAAAAGTTCAGTATTTGAAAAATCCAGGTTTCTCCCAGGGCAGGTCTTCTTTGCTGCCTTCCCAGCAGCATGAGCGCACAGAGGGCTAAAATAGAAAGTACATGCTGTGAGTCCCGTTCTCACATCTGTTAGTGTAACCATTTCTAAAGACAGAGCGCTCCCCCGCTCTTTCCTCTGGTCTTAATCACGAAGGTGAAAGAGGAATAAACCCAGGCCAACGTGACACCGAATTAATCCTTGCCATATTCTTTACTTCTAAATAAAACTTCTACCCAAAGCCTCGCCTGACATTTTTCTCTGGATTTAATTTATTACTGATTACATCTAAAAGTGTAGAATGTAAACAGATCATCAATGTTGAACACATTTATCTTTCAAAGCGTCAGTGTTTAATCTGACATCTGTCCCTGATGTAAAAAGTCACATACTGACATTAATGGCATTTTTCTTCTTCTACATTTAATTGAGAATGTGACACTGTTTGATCACCATGCTTTCAACTACCTTAAAAAAGGGGACTTTAATACAGGAGACGAGAACAGCCGTTGATTTTTATTTTTTATTTTTAATGCACTGTTGTCTCGTGATAATGACTTATCTCGTTCTCTCGAAATAACGGAAATGGCGTTTTGGCCGACCTAAAATTGTCACTTTTAAAAACACCCTCCAGACTGGGACATTTCTGAAACGCCACAGCCACCAAGTCAGAGTTTACAACGATAATGCTGACTGCACGCTCCTCTTTGCGCATGCACATTACACTTTAAAGGTGCAAACATTTCACTGCCATGCGCAAATCGAACAATTGCACTAATAATGCCACACATGAGTAATTAATTTGTAATCCTGAGAAAACAATCTTTGTTAAGATAACAGGGCTTAAAAAAAAGAAAAAAATCTGTTTTCCTATTCCGTACTTTTAAACATCAAACATTCAAAAACTTTTAAATATATAAAAATCTTTTAACTGTAATGGTTTTAAAAAAGTTAAAAAATAAAAATCAGGACTGGAAATCTTGTAAACCAAAGTTTTAAGGTAAGTTTGATGCTTTATGAAGCCAGAGGACTTCAAAAACCATAAGGATTTATCCTCTAGGGCAAAGGAGTCCAAGTAGTGCCTTAAGAAAGTCAGTCTGGCCTCATGTTACCTTTGTTAGCTGCCTTCAGTTAGCTATAGCTAACAGAAAAACCTAACTTTGGCAGTCCTGGACTCTTCCATACATCTCAATCTACTGAATAGTTTCTGAATTTATCTCAGAATTCATTCTTGCACCCTTACTCATCACACAAACACATTCCCACACACATACGGAAAGCCTCCCTGCTGCTCCTCTCTCTGTGGGATCCAGCACATGAAAGGAGGTCGAAACACCTCCGTCTGCCCTCCATCGGTCCTCCAAATCCTGTCAGAGGCCGTGATGAAGTGCTCTTTTCCCCCTTCTCTTTATTTCAGAATCTGGATTCAATAACCCGGCTGATCTTCAAAAACAGCCAGAAAACCCCCTTACACATGCACACAGAGACACAGTTGTAGGCTACAGGCACATTCATCAAACGCACCAGAAATAACCGCACAGATGCCTACAGACACTAATTTTTCACACAGGCAGACGAATGCAGACACAAAAACATGCAGGAGCACACAGGCGAGCAAATGTGACCTAAATCTGAGAGCCTTTAAAACTACAAAATGGCAACGGCTGAAGTTCCATGTGATGTTTTCCATGATACTGTGGCTAGGATACAAACTCAACATCCTAAAGAGCTTGTTATAATATTAGGAGACTTCAACCATGTCACTGACTGGATTAACATAGTTTGTTAACTGTCCTACCTACTCTATACTGTTTTTTATCTTTATGTCCATGTGTTAGGATGCATAATCTATTGGCAGGGGGTTGTATTTTGGTGTCTGAAGAAGTGTTTCAGCTGAGTTATGTTTTATGCCTAAAAACAGTCCGAGTGTAAGAGAATAATTTTTCCAAATATTGCAGTGCTGTATAAATTCCCTGTTCAATATTGCCATAAGAACTTATAAATATCCAACAGGGTATGAGGGATTTACCCTGATGTTATAGAAATAAAGAACATTTTACAATGAAGTTAAATGTGTGACTGAAAAGAAACAGTCTGAGGGGGTGCTCTGTTTTTGCGCTCCACTCTTTAAGACACACACACACACACACAAGCACAGTTAATCCCATACAGTTTCAATAAAAGCCCATGGTTCACAGTGATGCTTTGATCTCTTCCTTGGCCCCGTCTCATGCTGTTTGGAGACACAGGTCCTGCAGTTACATAACAGCCTTTATCTACACTCTGAGCGAACCCTCTGTTAATGTATGTAGCCTATGAGTGTGTTTTCCCAGATTTAAGAGAAGCCCTCTACACTGAGACCGTATCAAACCTCCAATCAATCCGAACAGGTTCATGCCCTCCAAACATCGGGAAGGAATCCGGCTGCTTGAATAAACAGGTATGGAGGACCGTGGAATAGCAGGATAAAACCTCCACAGTCTGTGATTTGATGCCCACACTGAGCATTCACGGTTCAGACAACCCCAGTAAAGCCCTGGTGGTTTCTCTATAATGGCCTTGGAGGGGCTGTAATGGGTTTCGGGGTCTGTATGAATGGCGAGGGGATCCCACCAGACTCGTGTAACTGAGTATGTAAGAGAGTAAGTGAAAGCAGAGTGCTGTGGATCTGGAGTTTTCAGTAAGAGTCAAGGCTGATAGGAATTGGTGCTGTTTGGCCTTGACAGTAATAGACTGTTTTCCCATTGTGGCCATCTGACTGTGACTGAGAGCTCAGGGTAGGGAGCTCAATGTTATTATACCTGACTAATGTGAGTCATATAAACTCAGACAGTTGTGGTAATTTACTCAGGAAAGATAATGAGCCACAATGACAAGATTCAGACATACAGACTGTCGGGGACATATGTGCCAGTTAAGTTATCTGATGACGAGTTAGTCTCCACCAGTATATTCTATTGTTTACAATATTGTTTTATTTGATATTATGTTAATGTTATTTTATATTGGTTTATTTATTATAACAATATGTAACTTGTATTTATATAGTTGAAAAATTTACTGTAAATAAATATTGCGCTCAATTTGAAAATAAAAGGGTATTGCTTTTTGACAAAGTGTGTGCTGTTTCATTTTTTTAAGTACCGGTTCAAGAAACAATTAAACACCAGAACCATTTAGAAAGTACCGAGTAGGAACTGGTATGTAATAATAAAGTATGATAACAATTTTAAATTTTAGTATGAAAAACGATCATGGTATAGTATGTTGAAAAATATCATAGTATGAAAAGAATTTCAAATTTTAGTATGGAAAAAATATCATAGTCTAGTATGTTGAAAAAAACGTCATAGGAAAGTATGATATAATTGTCATAGTACACTTATATTAAAATTTTGAATTTAAGTATTAAAAATGTAACCGTATACTTTGATTAAAAAAAAATCATATTTACGTTTGAAAAAAGTCATATATAGTATGATAAAAATTTCAAATTTTCAAAATTTAAAATTGTCATGGTATAGAATGTTAAAAATGTCAAAGTATACTGTGATTAAGATTTCAAATGATAGTGTGAAAAAATGTAATAGTAAAGTGTGATATTTTAATTTTGTCAACAAATGTCAACAAATTTAAGTAGAAAAAAGTCATAATATAGTGTGATAAATATTTTACATTTCAGTATGATGAAAATGTTATGTATAGTATGATGAAAAATGTCATAGTTTATGTTATCTTGTTTATGATAAAAATATCATAGTGTAGTGTTATAAAAATCCAAAATTTATGTCTAAAAAATGAAGATTGCTGAATGACTCTTTAATGTAAAGAGTAAAGTATGGTAATAATTTAAAAAATTCAGTTCGAAAAAGAAGTCACTGTATAGTAGGTAAAAAATGTCAATTATAGTATGATAAAAATATCAAAGTACGATCAAAAATTTTAAATTTTTGTATGAAAAAAATGCCATAGTATAGTATGCTAAAAATATATAGTATGATAAAATAACAATTTTGCATTTAATTTTGAAAGTAGAATAGAATGATAAGATTTTGAAATTCTAAAAACTTAAAAGAATAATATGACAAAAATATAAAATTTTTAGTGTGAAAAAAAAGTCAGAGTATAGTTTGTTAAAAACATCATAGAAGAGTATGATAATAAATATCATGGTATAGTATGAAAAAATAAATTAAAAAGTTCGTTGGAAAAAAAACATCATAGTGTATTATGTGAAGAGTATCATAGTATAGTATGATAAAAATTAAAAAAATGTCTGAAAGTCAAATTCATAGTATGGTATGTTAAAAATGTCAAAGTGTAGTAGGATAAAAATGTCACAGAACATATCTATGTATCATAGTATAGTATGATAAGGGTTAGGGTTAGAGTTGGAGCTGGGGTTAGGGTTAGGGTTAGGGTTAGAGTTGGAGCTGGGGTTAGGGTTAGGGTTAGGGTTAGAGTTGGAGCTGGGGTTAGGGTTAGGGTTAGAGTTGGAGCTGGGGTTAGGGTTAGGGTTAGGGTAAGAGTTGGAGCTGGGGTTAGGGTTACGGTTAGGGTTAGAGTTGGAGCTGGGGTTAGGGTTAGGTTTAGAGTTAGAGTTGGAGCTGGGGTTAGGGTTGGAGCTAGGGTTAGGGTTAGGGTTAGAGTTGGAGCTGGGGTTAGGGTTAGGGTAAGAGTTGGAGCTGGGGTTAGGGTTAGGGTAAGAGTTGGAGCTGGGGTTAGGGTTAGGGTAAGAGTTGGAGCTGGGGTTAGGGTTAGGGTTAGGGTTAGAGTTGGAGCTGGGGTTAGGGTTAGGGTAAGAGTTGGAGCTGGGGTTAGGGTTAGGGTTAGAGTTGGAGCTGGGGTTAAAGTTAGGGTTAGGGTTAGGGGTTAGGGTTAGGGTTAGGGTTAGGTTTTGGGAAAGAATCCCGTCTCCCCTAAATTGCCCTACTTGGGTCGGCGGGGAGCGGGGAATGCACGGGCCTTCGCCCACTGGACACGCTCCCCCGGTCCCAGAAAGACACTTATTTGTGTTATGAATTAAATTGTGTTTAATAAATTAGTTTTAGTGTGTTGTGTAATTCATATTTGTTAAATTAATCCATTTTTTTAGGTTTTTAACTGTTGTTTACACACAAACACACAAACAAACAAACATACATGAACACTACTTGAACTATGTATATGATGTGTGCACCGCGACGACGTTTCGACCTAGTTTGGTCTTCATCAGGTCTATGCACACATAATGGCTGCTGGGCCCCAATTCATAGGGGTTCACCCAGCAAGCAGCCAAAAGAAAATGAATTTTCCCTGTCCTGTTTTCCCTTTTATACCCTTTGGACAAGAAATTAACTGAATTTCTCTCGGATATTTAGTTTAAATTCAACTTTATTTAGTTTGTAAAATGTTAACCCTTTAATCGCTGTTTGGTTTTTAATTCTGAATAATATATTTATATTTCTCCTGTGGTTAGGCTTAAACTGACCAGTAGGGTTAGGGTTAGGGTCAGTATTAGGGTTAGGGTTCGAATCCGAGGGTTAGGGTTAGGGTTAGGGTTAGGGTTAAGGCCACGGTTGGGGCTAGATGGCGCTAGGGTTAGGGTTAGGGCCCTTTCATAATGGTTAGGGTTAGGGCCAGGGCCACGGTTGGGGCTAGAAATGAATCCCGTCTCTCCTATAGTGACCCTACTTGGGTCTGCGGGGAGCGGGATAGCGCTAGGGTTAGGGTTAGGGCCCTCATAATGGTTAGGGTTAGGTTAGGGTTAGGGTTAGGGGTTAGGATTTAGGGTTAGGGGTTAGGGTTAGGGTTAGGGTTAGGGTTAGGGTTAGGGGTTAGGGTTAGGGTTAGGGTTAGGGTTAGGGGGTTAGGGTTAGGGTTAGGGTTAGGGTTAGGGGTTAGGTTGGGGAAATAATCCCGTCTCCCCTAAATTGCCCTACTTGGGTCGGCGGGGAGCGGGGAATGCACGGGCCTACGCCCCGTCGGACACGCTCCCCAGGTCCCGAAAGGCTGGCGGCTACTTCCGCCAGCTGAACCGTATTTGGTCTGGTGTGTATTAATTTGTAATGAAGTTCATGTAGTCCTATTTGACTTACTCACACATACACAATTCATACATGATCTATATTTGATCTATGTATCCCTACAATGTGCCTGCTGCGTCGACGTTTCGACCTAATTTGGTCTTCTTCAGGACTGGGCACATGTAACAGCTAAGGCTGCTGGGCCCCAATTCATAGGGGTGGACCAGCCAGCAGCCAGAAAGAAATGAAAAGCCCTACCAACTTGTCTCCCTTTTATATCCCCTCCGCCAAAAATTAGACTGAATTTACTTGTATTTAAGTTATTTTCTACTCTATTTAGTTTTTGAAATCTTAACCCTTTCTGCACCGCTTGTGCTTTAAATCCATATTAATTATGTTTATTCACATATTTGTGCTTTTAATAAACAAATTAATAGGTATTTTTGATCCCAATATTAGGGTTAGGGTCCTGCTTGACCTTTGACCTCTGTGGCCTGCTTGGCCGTTGGTCATTAAGTTGCCTCTAATGGTTAGGGTTAGGGCGAGTCCCAGGTTAGGGTTAGAATCCCATACTAGGGTTAGGGTTAGGGTTAGATTCCCAGGTTGGGGTTAGTGCTGGGGTTAGGGTTAGGGGTCAGCGCTATGGTTAGGGTTAGGGTGAGCGCCATGGTTAGGGTTAGGGCTAGATGCCAGGCTGGGGTTATCATCAGCAGCCGCCCGGACTGCGAGTCGGCTGATTTTTTGCAGGTCGGGACCCAGGAAACGCGGCGACAGTGGACGTGGCACTGGCTGGATAGGTTGGGGAAATAATCCCGTCTCCCCTAAATTGCCCTACTTGGGTCGGCGGGGAGCGGGGAATGCACGGGCCTACGCCCCGTCGGACACGCTCCCCAGGTCCCGAAAGGCTGGCGGCTACTTCCGCCAGCTGAACCGTATTTGGTCTGGTGTGTATTAATTTGTAATGAAGTTCATGTAGTCCTATTTGACTTACTCACACATACACAATTCATACATGATCTATATTTGATCTATGTATCCCTACAATGTGCCTGCTGCGTCGACGTTTCGACCTAATTTGGTCTTCTTCAGGACTGGGCACATGTAACAGCTAAGGCTGCTGGGCCCCAATTCATAGGGGTGGACCAGCCAGCAGCCAGAAAGAAATGAAAAGCCCTACCAACTTGTCTCCCTTTTATATCCCCTCCGCCAAAAATTAGACTGAATTTACTTGTATTTAAGTTATTTTCTACTCTATTTAGTTTTTGAAATCTTAACCCTTTCTGCACCGCTTGTGCTTTAAATCCATATTAATTATGTTTATTCACATATTTGTGCTTTTAATAAACAAATTAATAGGTATTTTTGATCCCAATATTAGGGTTAGGGTCCTGCTTGACCTTTGACCTCTGTGGCCTGCTTGGCCGTTGGTCATTAAGTTGCCTCTAATGGTTAGGGTTAGGGCGAGTCCCAGGTTAGGGTTAGAATCCCATACTAGGGTTAGGGTTAGGGTTAGATTCCCAGGTTGGGGTTAGTGCTGGGGTTAGGTTAGGGAAAGAATCCCGTCTCCCCTAAATTGCCCTACTTGGGTCGGCGGGGAGCGGGGAATGCACGGGCCTACGCCCCGTCGGACACGCTCCCCGGGTCCCGAAAGGCTGGCGGCTACTTCCGCCAGCTGAGCCATATTTGGCATGATGTGTGTTATACTATAATCAAGTTCATGTAGTCCTATTTGACTTACTCACACACACATAATTCATACATACATGATCTATATTTGATCTATGTATCTGTACATTGTGCCTGCTGCGTCGACGTTTCGACCTAATTTGGTCTTCTTCAGGACTGGGCACATGTAACAGCTCAGGCTGCTGGGCCCCAATTCATAGGGGTGAACCAGCCAGCAGCCGAACAAAAATGAAAATGAAAAGCCCTACCCACTTTTCTCCCTTTTATATTCCCTCAGCTAAAAATTAGAATGAATTTACTTATATTTAAGTTATTTTCTGCTCTATTTAGTTTTTGCAATCTTAACCCTTTATGCACCTGTTTGTGCTTTAAATCCGTATTAATTATGTTTATTCACATATTTGTGCTTTAATAAACATATTAATAGGTATATGGTCCTGCTTGACCTTTGACCTCTGTGGCCTGCTTGGCCGTCGGTCATTAAGTTGCCTCTAATGGTTAGGGTTAGGGCGAGTCCCAGGTTAGGGTTAGAATCCCATACTAGGGTTAGGGTTAGGGTTAGATTCCCAGGTTAGGGTTAGTGCTGGGGTTAGGGTTAGGGGTCAGCGCTAGGGTTAGGGTTAGGGTCAGCGCGATGGTTAGGGTTAGGGCTAGATGCCAGGCTGGGGTTATCATCAGCAGCCGCCCGGACTGCGAGTCGGCTGATTTTTTGCAGGTCGGGACCCAGGAAACGCGGCGACAGTGGACGTGGCACTGGCTGGATAGGTTAGGGAAAGAATCCCGTCTCCCCTAAATTGCCCTACTTGGGTCGGCGGGGAGCGGGGAATGCACGGGCCTACGCCCCGTCGGACACGCTCCCCGGGTCCCGAAAGGCTGGCGGCTACTTCCGCCAGCTGAGCCATATTTGGCATGATGTGTGTTATACTATAATCAAGTTCATGTAGTCCTATTTGACTTACTCACACACACATAATTCATACATACATGATCTATATTTGATCTATGTATCTGTACATTGTGCCTGCTGCGTCGACGTTTCGACCTAATTTGGTCTTCTTCAGGACTGGGCACATGTAACAGCTCAGGCTGCTGGGCCCCAATTCATAGGGGTGAACCAGCCAGCAGCCGAACAAAAAATGAAAATGAAAAGCCCTACCCACTTTTCTCCCTTTTATATTCCCTCAGCTAAAAATTAGAATGAATTTACTTATATTTAAGTTATTTTCTGCTCTATTTAGTTTTTGCAATCTTAACCCTTTATGCACCTGTTTGTGCTTTAAATCCGTATTAATTATGTTTATTCACATATTTGTGCTTTAATAAACATATTAATAGGTATATGGTCCTGCTTGACCTTTGACCTCTGTGGCCTGCTTGGCCGTCGGTCATTAAGTTGCCTCTAATGGTTAGGGTTAGGGCGAGTCCCAGGTTAGGGTTAGAATCCCATACTAGGGTTAGGGTTAGGGTTAGATTCCCAGGTTAGGGTTAGTGCTGGGGTTAGGGTTAGGGGTCAGCGCTAGGGTTAGGGTTAGGGTCAGCGCGATGGTTAGGGTTAGGGCTAGATGCCAGGCTGGGGTTATCATCAGCAGCCGCCCGGACTCCGAGTCGGCTGATTTTTTGCAGGTCGGGACCCAGGAAACGCGGCGACAGTGGACGTGGCACTGGCTGGATAGGTTAGGGAAAGAATCCCGTCTCCCCTAAATTGCCCTACTTGGGTCGGCGGGGAGCGGGGAATGCACGGGCCTACGCCCCGTCGGACACGCTCCCCGGGTCCCGAAAGGCTGGCGGCTACTTCCGCCAGCTGAGCCATATTTGGCATGATGTGTGTTATACTATAATCAAGTTCATGTAGTCCTATTTGACTTACTCACACACACATAATTCATACATACATGATCTATATTTGATCTATGTATCTGTACATTGTGCCTGCTGCGTCGACGTTTCGACCTAATTTGGTCTTCTTCAGGACTGGGCACATGTAACAGCTCAGGCTGCTGGGCCCCAATTCATAGGGGTGAACCAGCCAGCAGCCGAACAAAAATGAAAATGAAAAGCCCTACCCACTTTTCTCCCTTTTATATTCCCTCAGCTAAAAATTAGAATGAATTTACTTATATTTAAGTTATTTTCTGCTCTATTTAGTTTTTGCAATCTTAACCCTTTATGCACCTGTTTGTGCTTTAAATCCGTATTAATTATGTTTATTCACATATTTGTGCTTTAATAAACATATTAATAGGTATATGGTCCTGCTTGACCTTTGACCTCTGTGGCCTGCTTGGCCGTCGGTCATTAAGTTGCCTCTAATGGTTAGGGTTAGGGCGAGTCCCAGGTTAGGGTTAGAATCCCATACTAGGGTTAGGGTTAGGGTTAGATTCCCAGGTTAGGGTTAGTGCTGGGGTTAGGGTTAGGGGTCAGCGCTAGGGTTAGGGTTAGGGTCAGCGCGATGGTTAGGGTTAGGGCTAGATGCCAGGCTGGGGTTATCATCAGCAGCCGCCCGGACTGCGAGTCGGCTGATTTTTTGCAGGTCGGGACCCAGGAAACGCGGCGACAGTGGACGTGGCACTGGCTGGATAGGTTAGGGAAAGAATCCCGTCTCCCCTAAATTGCCCTACTTGGGTCGGCGGGGAGCGGGGAATGCACGGGCCTACGCCCCGTCGGACACGCTCCCCGGGTCCCGAAAGGCTGGCGGCTACTTCCGCCAGCTGAGCCATATTTGGCATGATGTGTGTTATACTATAATCAAGTTCATGTAGTCCTATTTGACTTACTCACACACACATAATTCATACATACATGATCTATATTTGATCTATGTATCTGTACATTGTGCCTGCTGCGTCGACGTTTCGACCTAATTTGGTCTTCTTCAGGACTGGGCACATGTAA